TGCCTCCCATTGCATAACTTTGTAGGACTTTCCCTAGACTTTTTTTTAAGTAGAATGCTCAGCTTTGTCTACCCGGGATGTTAAAAGCGGAATCGAGAGCTGACTCCCGGGTGACCTCAGATGATTGGGATCGGGGGAGGGTCAAGATTTGGGTTCTGCGGCTGCTGCTGGAAATCGGAGGGAGACATGGTTGAAGGAAGAAACTCTGGGAAAGTTCTTGTTAAAAGATAATTCCAACCCCAGCTCCTCTCCCTCCCTTTCGGTGTTAAAAGTACTGGGTGAAATATCTTCCTAGCTGAGACATTTTGGATTAATAGATAACTCATCAGCCGCATTCTTCCCTGATGAGTCGAAGACCCCTGCCGAACCTGGGCGATGTGGAATGGGGGTGGGGGGAGAGGTAGACTAACAAGGGCTAAAAGCTTTGGGTTCCCCAAAGCAAAGGCGCATGGAGGGTGTTTTCATAGAAAATCACAACTTTATGTGGCACACTCGGAATGATGATTAAAAACGATTTGCGGCTGTGGTGCGTTTCTTACTGAAAACACTTGAGTAATATGGGTGAATGGAGCGTGCATGGGACTTAAGAATTTTGTCAGTTTTGTGGTGTCAGGCCCGGACTTTCACTCCTGCTGGTGGTTTACCTGGAGGTCCAAGAAACTGTATTTATCTGTTTAAGGTCTCCCAAAATTGAGTGTGTAGAAGCAGACACGGCCCAACCCACTGTTTCATAAAAAGTGTTCTTACAGGTAAATTACATCCTAATGAGGAGGATGAACACAACGTAAACTGACTCTGAAGCGGTTAGGATGGTGAGAATGTTGAGACATTCTCACCGTGTGCAAACTAAGATACCGTGACTGAAACCAAACATTAGGAAAGAGTTCATCCATCCACCCATCTCTCTGACCTATGTAAACTCTCCACTGGTAAAATGGGAACTGTTTAAATGGGGAAGACAGAAGAGACCTAAACTTATGCAAAACAACGGAGAGTAAGATTTTACTCACCACAGTTGTTAGGGTAGTGCACCTTAGGGTTAAGGGAATTGAAGAAACCTGACAACTGCGTCCCCACCTGAAGAAATTACCTATTTCATCAGCAAGTGTTGGTTTGAGAAGTTTTGTTTATACCGATTTATAACGCCAGAGCCCAGGGAGCCAGCTGCAAGTTCCCGCTGCTTCTCAGTTTATTTCCTGACAAGTTAAACATTAAAAAATGATGCCCGTTTGCTTTTTAAAAAAAATTGCTGGGAATTTAGCATGCTTTAATGAACACAGTGAGGTAATAACTCATTTCAGATCCACAGTACCCTTATCCCTGCAAGGATGGATCCTCTAAAACCATCTTTCTTCCCTTCATCCGGTTCAGAAAAGTTGCAGCTGGGACAAAGCTCATGACAGCAACAAGAACACCAAAGTTTGGTCCTTTTAAAATGATTTTGGGAAACAACAAACCCCCAAGTTTTATTTTTTTTAAGGTTTTGGTAGGTAACAATAGGTTTGTCTCCAAATCCCATGCCCACTTGCCTAAATATTATGGCAAGTCAGTTTTTCTCTTGATCATCTTAGCTGCAGATGTTTCCAGTGCTAAGGCCCCCTCGGGGTGATCACATCTGGTAATGGACCATGTTGGTGCAGTCATCTGCCTGATTTTGCTGCGTTGCACTGAGTGTTTTTTGTCAGGTAGGAATGGCATGTGATTCTAGAAGTTGTGTTTATCTTTTTTAGCAAAACATTTGTTATTTAAGCAATAAGAGGAGTAGGAAGATTGCAGAGCTCAAGTTGTGCACTAGTGGGAATGTATAATACATACTCCATGAAAAATGTAGTGTCCACCCCTCCACCCCCACCCCAGTACTAAGAAATGAAAAAGCCAGACAAGCTTTTTTTTTTTTTTTTTCGAGACAGGGTTTCTCTGTGTAGCTTTGGAGCGGATCCTGGCACTCGCTCTGGAAACCAGGCTGGTCTCGAACTCACAGAGATCCGCCTGTGAGTTCTTATCACTAGCTACTCTATTTTTTTGTTTAGAAATAGGGTTTCCCAAGTCACACAGTCAGGCTTTGAACTTGAATTCCTGCCTAAGAGTCCTGGGATTGAGGCATTTGCCATCACACCTGGCTAGCACAATAGAAATGCAGGGAAAGAAAATTGTCAGTGTCCCAGGTAGTTTTATTTTATAATTCTCTCTTCTTTGTGTCTGCCTCTTTTTTTTGTCTGTCTTTTTTCTTAAACCCTCCCCCGCCCCCCCCCCCCCCCCCCCCGCCAAAATAACCCTGGAAGCCACAAGTAAAATAAATACAGTATTTGGTGAGTCCCCTTAATGTGCTTGTCATTATACAAAACCACAACACTGGACCCATTCCCTGCCCGCCCAGTGCATCAGCACTTGTTCAGATGCATTGAAAAGCCTCAGAGTAAACAGAACACACACACACACACACACACACACACACACACACACGTATACATACATGAAGACAAGAGAAGAATTTGTCTGTTGTAAATTGTAATTTCCGGTGGCTACTGGACTGAGTTGGAAAAGTGAGTCCACCCATCACTAAGAGAAAACACTGTCCCATATATCTGCTATGGGAGTAGACTTTCTCCTACACTGGAGAGCTAATTCAAGGCTTTCCGTTTTCCTTTCTGTGTTTGAAACCAGGTCCTCCTCCTATCTATCATCCAGTGTGTTTTAATCTCGTGTCTCTGATGTCTTACTCTGCAATCATGACACACTGCTCGTATGTTCATGTGGATACAGTTGTGTAGGATGGGAAGTTCAGGATTTAGGAAAAATGTTTACATCTTTTCTGTGGTTGAAAAGTTTTTGAGACTCTGTGATGTTAAGACTTGGCAGCTGTGTAAGAGACAATACATCTGGCTTTCAGTGTGTTGTGTATGTTCTTTGCAAGTTTTTCTGCAAGAACAGCCAGTTGTCAATCTTACTGGGACCTGAGAGTTGCAAGGGTTTGGTGTCTATGTGCAGTGTGTTGATTATCTCTTACATCACTTTACAATTCAGAAGCCAGTCTTAGCTACATAGCAAGGCTCTACTTTGAAACAAAGTTCTTAGTTGGATATTGGTGATGATTTCCTTCATTTTTTAAGTCAGGCAGGTGGATCTCTGAGTCTGAGTCCAGCCTGGTCTATATAGCAAGCCAAGCCAGGGGTGCATAGTGAGATGTTGTCTCTAAACAAAAGTAAAAAGAAAAAAAGAAAAAGGAAAGTTCTTAGAATGTGTCTCCAGGCTGGGCAGTGGTGGCACACGCCTTTAGTCCTAGCACTTGGGAGGCAGAAGCAGGCAGATCGCTGAGTTCAAGGCCAGCCTGGTCTACAAGAGCTAGTTCCAGGACAGCCTCCAAAGCCACAGAGAAACCCTGTCTCGAAAAACCAAAAAAAAAAAAAAAAAAAAAAAAATCTGGTTTTATTAAAAGTTAATTAGTATGTAAGTAATAAAGTCATAATTAGTCTCCTAATTCACTGTCATTAGTCAAGATACAATGTATTTATGAGTACTGGAACCCTGTCTTACAGAACCTTATTGGCAAGTGATTTGTTTTTTTGAAATGAGACAAAGGTGTCCTTCGGTTGTAATTTTAGTTTCATTCATGTCATTGGGTATTTCTCAGGCAGATCACCTTATGTTGAAGCAGTATAAAATACATCTCGGTTCTGGGAAAGCAGTGTAAGGGGTAATTAAATCAGAGAAGCAAGAATTGGCTGCGTTGCAGCATTGATTGAGATGTTTGGCAGAAATCGCATCAAGTCAGATCTTGAGAGGGTCATGCAATTTTTACTTCAGATCTTTTAGAGTGCTTAGTATTTTGCCAAAGCATCAGGGTCATAATTTTTTTTTTTTTAAACAAACAGTTGTTATAGAGGAAAGAGAATGCCAGTGGTGTGGTAACCGCTGGTT